TAAACAAGAATATTAGAAAAGGGATTAAGGGATCATGAAACTCTGACATCATTGTGATCTGATAACAGAACTCTATAGAGATTTTCCTTTAGATAGGGGTTTTTTTTTTCAGGCCCTCCTGCCCCCACAATATAATTGATTAACTCTTAATCAGATTAGGTAAAAATAAATAATTATTCTTTATCTCACATGTGAAATCACTTCCTAGAACCATGGAACATTTTTAATGGTAGTCAAACCCTGTTTCCTTTCCATTGAATACAAAGGAAAGTGCTTGATTTCTAGATTTAAGTGCAGAAATCTAAGGTTCCATGTGCTAAATTGCTATCATGTAACACTTTGATTTCCTTTTTCTGTGAATAAATCTTACAGCAGTTCTCAACCTGTGGGTCGCGACCTCTTTGGGGGTCAAACGACCCTTTCACAGGGATCGCCTGATTCATAACAGTAGCAAAAATTACAGTTAGGAAGTAGCAACAAAAATAATTTTATGGTTTGGGGGGAGGGGGCCACCACGACATGAGGAACTGTATCACTGCTTTAGAAAATACTACATTTCTAGAAAACCATTTGCTGCTTTTTATTTTGTTCCAACAGCATATCTGAACTTTCCTTAAATCCTGGCTCAGTAAGAGGACAGGATTAGTTAATAAACAACACCACATTCGAGTCAGAGAAAGATCTGTGTGTATAAATGTAAGTGGTTTGGAGGAAAATGCAGTGATAAAACTCACGGGAGCTCTGTTGCAGTTGAGTAATAGGAACCTTGATCTGAAAGACCTGCTGACTGGAAAGACCTGCTCTGAGCAAGGAAACCAAACACAAAAGCTATTTTATAACCGAGCGTGTATTTTTAACTTTAGCATCTGATTGTTGTTTGTATTGCAAACCTAAAATGATTAAGCCTGGAGAAGATGGGATCTGTTTGTCATGGTCCTGCAGAATGTATGTTTATAGATTTGTATGGTGCTTTGGCAATGAAAATATAGGTGTACTTTTAGCTTTCTTAGGCTTCTCATATAGGCACCATCAAGCAGGTGCTTTTCCCATAGAGGGCGCGAGAAGCAATAATTCTCAATTGTTCAAGAAGGGTGAAGGGCAGAAGAGAGCAAAACCTTCTTGGTCTTCATTGTTATATAGCCCTCTTCAGGAAAGTACCTCTTCTAAAGATTCTGAAAATTTAGGTTAGATGGAATTCACCTGAAGTAGTTTTGTGACCCGTTGGGTATGTATTCATACGGCACACATCTTTTAAAAATATGCGTGTCTAAGTTATGTGGATATGAACATTGACTTAATGAACCAATTAATTAAAATAACTTTTATACAGATGTTATACAAATGCAGGTGTCAGCATTTGAAAATGGTGATTGAAATATGGATCTCTTCTGCCCTGCGCCAAGCATTTTCTTTGTTATTGTCTGCTACATTTAACCCAGTGAAATTAATCAGGAGATTAATTATAACAAACAATACCAAACCCAAACTCTTTGCCATCCACACAACTCTGACTCATGGTTACCATATAGCCCCTGTGGTTTTCTGAGATTTTAACTCTTTTCAGGAGTAGAAAGCTTCATTTTTCTCTCACAGACTATGTAAACCAAAAAAGTAACTGGACCTTAACTAATGGAGTTATCAATTGATTTCTTAGTTCTCCAGTTGTTATAATGTAAAAATATCCCTAATGTGAGATACAAACTTTAGTAATGCCATCAATAGTATGCTTAACTCACTCAACTCACTTTGATCGAGTCTAGCCCAGTAGAACTGCCTCTGTGGGTTTCCAAGGCTATAAATCTTTACTGGAGCAGAGAGGCTGGTGGTTTTGAATTGCTTGCCTTGCATTTAACAGCCCAATGCATAGTCCCCTGGCCCACCAGGATTGGCTAGGCTTAACTAGGCAGTTCTTGTGCACTTTGCATATGATTACATTTAAATGGCCTGTGACAAGACACTGGGGTCTTGGAAGCTAGGTGGGCTGGTGGTGGTGGTGGTGTGTTTCCTTGTCCATGTATTCTCAGACGTGTCCTCTCCATGTGGTCTGTTTACATAGTGTCTGCAGTAGTCACATTCCTTACATAGTGATTGTGTAGTAAGGATCAGTATTAATCCATTCCCAAAATGTGGAGATTGATGTGGAGTATCCATGTTCTCATTTCCTTTGCACCAGTCAGCCTTGCAGCATTTTCTTTTTGTGATTCTAGCCACCTGGAGGTAGATCAGCACATACAAGTTAACAGGGCACTCTCCTTTGGCACACAATATTGTCTATAAGTACAGTACACCATACACAAAAATCCAGGTGAGACCAAAAGGATAACAATTAGTCCAAAGCAAAGATGAGAAGCAAGGTCCACAGAAATTAGAGTACAGGAGATGGAGCAATCAGAAGGCAAATAAAGAGAAGAGTGGAGGGCAGAAATAGAATTAATGGCTCTGAACAATTTGTGTAGAAATGGTCATATGGAACCTAAACTGCTGAATAAACTTTGACCAAAAACTTAATAAAATATACTTTAAAAAAAAAGACACCATCTTTCTGACTGCCAGATAGGCAGCTGCCAACTTCAAATTTGAGGAGTTTATACAACAACCTAAACTTCTGCCCTGCTGGCCACAGATTCAGGACAGGTTTCCGTCAGTGCCTTCAGGATGCCCATGGCAAGCTTGAGCGTCCACATGACACAAGAGCAGATGTTCTCACCTATCAAGAAACTAAGATCTGTATTCAGGGCTTGTATTGGCCAGTCCTGCATGGTAGATTCAATCAGGCCACCTGGGGCTAGTTCTTAGTTCTCAGGTGAGTCGTATCTAGTGTGGTCAGCTCTCACACATTCTGAGCTGCCCCTGCAAGTCTCAAACAAGTGCATCACAATTACTCCAGTGGTTTTCTCCAGAACCAGGGAAAAGGCCATCTTAATTAGGGTAAAACATGGTCTTCTGTTACCACTGCATGCCTATCACTATTTTATCTTAGATACAAGTGTTATGTGTGAGCCTTGGGCAGCTAATCGAAAGGTTAGCAGTTTGAAACCAACAGCTGCTCTGTGAGAGAAAGACGAGCATTTCTGCTCCTATAACCATTTATTGTCTTGGAAACACAGCGTAGGTTCACCAGGAATCAGAATCGACTCAGTGGCAGTGAGTGTGGGTTTGGGGAGTGATAAATGTATGTGAGGTGAGGTCAGCCTGCAGTGTTATAAGAGGAATTTTCCCAACCCAAGCCACTGCCCTCAACTCAGTTCTGACCACAGTGACCTGTGTAATGTTTCCCAGACTGCATGTCTGTACAAGAGCAGAAAGTCCTAACCTTCTCCTGCAGAGCAGCTGGTGGGTGCAAACTGCTGACTTTTCGGTTAGCAGCCCACACCTCGTTCACTGTGCCTCCAGCCTCTCACACTCTAAATTGATGGCTGTCAACTAGGATAACAAAGACTACTGGCAAAGAATATGAAATATTTCGTGACTGCCAGAATAACAGACAAATCTATTTTTAAAGTACAGCCAGAATGCTCCTTAGAAGAAAGGATAGCATACTTTGGAAATGTCATCAGAAAGGACCAGTTCAAGAGAAGAGAAGAACCTCATGGTGGAGGCTCGGTGAAACAGAGTTTAAGGTCCTCAATGGAATGGATTGGTTAAGTGGTTGCAAGAGCAGGTTAAAATAGAGGAACGATTGTTAAGGACGACGCAGACCTGGGCAGTGTTTTGTTGGGTTGTACTCAGGGCTGCTCTGAGTCGGAATCACTTGAGAGCACCTGACAGTAGCATACAAAAAGGAGCTACTACTATACTCACTTCAGTTCAAATTTTGATTAAAACCAAGGCGCAGAGCTAGTCATGAGCTGTGGTTAGAGTCACAAAGTGCGAAATGAAATCGGAGTGGAGGGCCAAGAGCTAGAAACCAGTCAGAGCTGTGGTGTGAGGAAGTTAGCCATTATCACTCACTTCATGTATGGCAGCTCTGACAACTATTGGAATTAACTTCTTGTGTCAGATCATCTATTTAGAGGATTAAGCAATCCCCTTGCAGTTCCTGGACACAACTGGCTAAGAGAACTCTTGAGGGTCCAATTCCTAGCTATAGTCATAATTAAACTGTTGTAGAAGTTGTCTGTGACATCACAAGCATCCATTCTTTCAAGGAGGCTGATAAATGGATAGAAGATGTAGGAACAGAAATGACAATGTTGATATCATATTGCTGGTTAACAAGATTGATCTGAGTAGCAAAAGGCAAATCTCTGCAGAAGGAGGAGAAAAACAATTGAGAGATGCCAACATGTTTATTAAGACCAGTTTCAGAATTGGTTACACATGAAAATTTTATTCTAGTGGTATACATCAATAGCCAATACAATTTTCACTTCATGGTTTTATCTACTACCTCAATAAAAGACTGGGTCTTACGAAAAGAAAGGCACAAAACTAGGCCATACAGTTGAATATCTCTTGATGGGGATGTCAGGGTATGACAGGCTAATGAGGGTTGGTTTTCTGGTTGAAGATTTAGTGTGACAAGATGCTTCTTGTCACTTCTGCCTTTTTGACTGCAGTGTCTCTAGATCTGGTAGTGGCCTCTTAGGCCTAGGAGGGAAAGATTTCTTCCTAAAGTCACTTAATTCTAGAAAGGGTTGGCTCTCCTTGCTGGTGATGGTATATATTTATGTATGTGTGCATATGTCTATATATGTGTGTATGTGTATCTATATATATGTATACACACACACATATATATGTCTATATATATGTATACACACATATATATAGATATACATACACACACATATTGAAGTATCAGGGAACTCAGAAACCATCAAGTCCATGAACTTTATCTGCTTTCACTACCTCCTCAAGCTTGATAAGACTCTGCATTTTAACCCCCAGAAAGTGCACAAAACAATTGCTTCTCCTTTAGAAACTGCTTTCTTGAGCAAGAGTCCATATGGTATACCCACGTTTTGTTAGCCTTGACTGCTATTGTATTGTCATTGTAGAACGTGCCAATGAAAGCATCCATCAACTGAAATGTGCTCTGAGAGAAGGTGATGTCACCATTGTAGAAGGTGCACCGGATCCTTGTTTCAGCACCAGTGTAGGGCCTGAGGACACTGGGACTGCCTGGCGGGAATTGCAACACAGCCATGCTGGTGAGTGAGTGTGAAAAATCAGCCCTAGCCGGAACAATTCTTTTTTCTTGACTTTTTAAAAAACGGTTTATTAGCACTCTATCAACATGTCGTACAATTCAATAGTTCAATCATATCAGGAAGAGTTGTACAATTATCAGAACAGTAAATTCTAGAACATTTTCTTCTTCCTTGTACTCATTGTTATTTGCTTAATTATTATTTTTTCTAATTGTGGCAAAAATATACACAACAAAACTTCTACATGTATAATGCAGTGTCATTGATTGACTCTTCATGTTGTACAACCATTACAGTATTGATATTCTTTTCCAAATTATTCCACCATCATTAACATAACGCAGTACCCCCTAAACAACAATTCTTTCTTCTTCCCCCATGGTAACTATTGGTAGAGTTTGGTTTCTTTCTTTTTTTTTTAGTAGTTTTCTTGATATAGTATTCACATATGAGACACTCCCGTGATTAAATCACTTTTAAAAAGAGTTGTAGATCATCACAATCAGTTCTAGTGCTTCTCCCATCTCCCCATTCATTGTTCCCCAAATCCCTGACACTCCCCACACCGAATCCCCCTCTCTCTCCCCATAAACCATTGCATCAATTATTGTCTCTATGCATCTACTCCTTCTATACTTCACCAACGGGGAAACGCAACAAAAAGAAAAAAACAAAACAACAAGAAGAAAATAATAATAATATAAAGATAAAAATACAAATAGAAAGATAAAACCACCATCAATATTTAGCCAGAACAATTCTTTAACCTCCATAGAGTAATAACTCCAGGATGTCTTTTGTTCTACTGCTAGGATTTTATTTCTGAAACACAAGTTATTTCTTTGCTTTTCCCTCCCCCACCCCTTGCCATCCCAATTCCTATAGGGTTAGGTTCAAAATCTTTACAATGATTTGACTATATTTTCCTAAGGTGACTCCAGCTTACTTCTGTAGCCTCATTTTCCCATCATAAGCATGTTCTACTCATGCTAACCTCCTGGTCATACTTCTATCTTTTGCATGTTCTATACACTGTAACTGGAATGTTTCTCATCCTTTTTTGTTGGTGATTCCTGTTTACCCTTCATAGTGAAAACATAGACATAGTGTACCCTATGTATAACTCTAGTTCTATGTGCAACTATATGTTATTGCTTTGTACTTGTACCTATTTTTGCTCCCCGGATTCTTAGCTCATAAGTGGCAGAGATGGTCTTATATTTATCATTGTCAGTAGCAAAGTTATTAATGTGTAAATATGTTTAAACAATACTTGCTGAATTCATGGAAGGATAGATGTGTGGTGATAAACCATGGATCTCAACTATGTGAAACATGGTTAATAAACCTATTACTTTTTTTCTGTAGTTAATCAACTCAAAGCTTTGTTGCGCCAACAAGCAGCTAAGGAAAGTAAGCTATCTCCATCAAGAAGACGAAAAATGCCCCCTTCAGTGAGTATCAATGCATACAGCCTGACTAAAAAGCTTTATTTTTCTAGCTGCTTTTTAACATTACAGTGACATTTTAGCAGTGCATGTTGTAGGTGCATTCTAATCTAAGCAGGACATGCACATAAAGTAAAACATTAAAAGAAAGAGTAATAAAGTATCTTGCCTCCAAAGAAGAGAGATTTTATGGCAGAAAGAATTTGAAGCTTTTTTAAAACTTATTTATTTGAAAGAGAGTACTTTGAATTTTCTGCGTGTGATGATAGCTGGACACAAGTCTGTATACTGGAAACCAAAACCTCACTGCTGTCAGGTCATTGTCGATTCATAGCAGCCCTGCAGGACAGGGCAGACCTGCCCCTCTGATTTTACAGGAGTAGAAAGCCTGTTCTTTCTCCCTCCGGTGGCTGCTGGTTTCAAACTGCTGACCTGGTGGATTGTGATGAATCATCCATAACCACTATTCCACCAGGACTTCCTATTGGAAACTATAGAAACATTTATTTTCTTTACTCAAAGCTGAAATATCATAGTCCCATATTAACTCCTCATCCCAACCTTTTATGTTTAACTACTACTTTGGAGAGAAGTACTTTATTTATTTTTAAAAGTTTTATTAACTCCTCATTTCACATGTCATATACTTTAATAATTCATTCATATCAAGAAGAGTTGTACAGTTAACACAACAGTCAATTCTAGAACATATTCTCCTCGTACTCATTGCTATTCATATAATTTTTTTAATTGTGGAAAAAATACACGCAATAAAACATTATCCAAGTCCACAATTTCTACATGTATAATTCAGTGTCATTACATTCACTTTGTGTATACAACCATTATTGATATCCTTTTCCAAATTATTCCACCACCATTAACATAAACTCAATACCCCTTAAGCAATAGTTCTTTCTCCTTCACCCATGGTCACCGTTGGTCAAGTTTGGTTTCTTTCTATTATTTTCTTTTTTTTTTAAGTAGGTTTCTTTATATAGTATTCACATATCAGACACTTCCATGGTTAAACTGCTTTTTAAGAGTTGTATATACATCATCATAATCAGTTCTAGTGTCCCCCCCCCACTCCTGGATTCATTGTTTACTTCCCAAATCCCCCTACACTCTCCACCCCTACCTACCCCACTACATCCCTGATAAACCATTGCATTAGTTAATGTCTCTATGCATCCATTCCTTCTGTGCTTCCCAAAATGGGAAACCTAACAAATAATTTTAAAAACAGCAAGAGGAAAATAATAATAATATAAAAATACAAATACAAATAAAGAATAAGAAAGAAAAGGCTATCATCAATATTTAAAAAGCCAGACAGGATATTTTTGTCATGGAACAAACGAGAAATACTAGAGCCCAGAGCAAATTCAGGTTGGGTCAAGAAGGAGGTCACTGACCAAGTATCATATTATGCCATGGTTGGATCCACCAAAATCCAGTTTACAATAATCTCTGTCTCAGTGTAAAGTTGCTTGAGTCCCTTGCCTGTGGCTTGAGAGGATCTACCAGATGTTTAATCTGACTAGATACTCTGCAGATGGATTTTGGGCTCCCACTCTCTTCCATAGCCTTCTACAAATTGGATATTCACAACTTTAACTCTGATACTTTTCCCTTTGTCATAAATGGCTTTTGTTATTTTCTCCTTTGTATCACAGGGGCTGATATGCTTCATCCATGTGGACTAAGTTGATGCCCCATTTAGATGGTTGCTTCTTTGGATACAAACCTTTAAGACCCCAGATAATGTTCCAATTGTTGGCCAGGCACCACCTGTTTTCTACACCACACTTTGCTGTAGCACCCTTATCTTCAGTGATCATTTCATGAAAGAGAGTATCAAGCCAGGCCATGTTATAAGAACTAACTCTTCTTGGATTAGGGCTACAGTTAATTGGGTGCCCAGAATTCATCTACTTGTCCATGAGTTATGAATGACTCTGATTTAGTTTGGTGGTCATACTTTGATAAAATCCAAAACCAACAAGCACAACAACAAAAAACAAAAGGCAGAAAAACAAAAAAGAAATTAAAAAGAAAAACATTGTCAATCATTCTCCTGGAGTAGAAGGCGATTGCATTAATAACATTAATAATTTTTCCAATGACATAGAATTTGAGATACTGTTGATATGAAGAGTTATGCAAATATAGTCCAATTGCGAGGTGCAATCCATGAGTTGTTGCTTTGTGCAGATTGATTTCTTAATTGATTGAACTGTTTACACTGAGCATAGGGATTGGTGCTCAGGGAAATTTTTCCCATATCAGTTTTTACAAGTGCAGAACTTTGCCTATCAGATTAAAACCTGTCATATTAATACAAGGGGAGCAGTTCTTTCACTCAGGCTTCTACCTGGAGTCCTGCTGGTGTGACTCTTGGGAATGCTATGTTGCCTGTAAGGCCAGCGTGTAAGTCTTCATGGTGCTTAGTCCATGGCATGGTTCACTGAGGATTAGGTGGAAACATATTCATAGTGTCCACTAAGAAACATAAAATTGGTTTATTGTCTATTTAGGTTCCTTACAATTGTTGTTAAGCATCCTTTTCTGATGTGAGGTTGCTTCTCCCTATTTACCCACCATACTCACCAACCGAAGTAGCAGTGCCTCTGCTGCAATGCAGATGCTCCCCTCCCCTGGTCTTCACTTGATTTCCCAGTAAGGTGCTCCTGTCTTTCCTGTGGAGGGCCTGTTGGTTTGTCACAGCCGTGTCTCAGTCTTGCACAGCATCAAGTGGATGGTGGTCTCCCTTCTTCCCTTTCTTGAAGGAGTGACTCCAGCCAATGTGAGGTCTCCTCTTTCAAGGTGATTTTTATGAAGTATACTTAAGGGAGCGGTGGTGGGGGTGAGGTATAGTTCATGGGCAGTAGGTAGATTTTCTACCCTTTTGTTTGGACATTAGTCTCTAAGATTTGTTCATTTGTGTTTCTCCTTATAGTAGTGGGTTCATACAGTATTTTTGCTTTTGTGATTGACTAACTTCGCTCAGCATAATGGTTTCCAGGTCCTCCCATGTCATGTGATGGTTCATGCTTTCATCACATTTTTTAGGGATGCATAATTTCCCATTGTGTGTTTGTACCATAGTTTCTTTATTCATTCTTCTGTTGGGCATTTGGGCCTCTTCTAGTTTCTTGCTATTGTGAACTGGGAACAAAGTACTTTATGTTCTGGTTTAAAATCACAAACGGTTATAAGATCACACCAGAGTTATAGCCTTTCACCATACTTACTCAGTATAAATTGAACAAATCATTTGAAAAGCTGGACTAAATGAAAAAGTACATAGCATCAGTATTGAAGAAGGACTCATTAACAGCCCGCAATATGCAGATGACTTTACAGCACCTAACAGCTTAACTTCTATGTTTATATTCAGTATTTATAGATATAAATGATCATTTTAATATAATTTTTCATCAGTCAGTGAACTTATTGTGGCATTAAACACTTACCTGAAGAGCCCTTCCTCAGGGAACTGTACTTGTCGCAAGTGATTCTCTTCATGGCAGTATCTTGGAGAGGACAGTTCATTTGTGATCTTAGCATTACTAAATGGGATGGCACACTTTCAGAAAGCTCAAATAGATCATCCCAAGACAGTTACTTTACCTTGGTTTATGTGTGTCTGTGGGGTGGAGGGTGGGAACAAGGGAGGGTCAAAATGTTCATGCAAAAATTCCATTATCTTGTATATTAATTTTTCCATGAATTTCTGAAGACTTCCTGTGGTGCAGTGAATTACTTAATATGGCTCTTCTAGTCATAACGCCCACTAATATGTATGGATGTATGGGTGGGACGAATCAGTATGAGAGGGACCATACAGTTGGGTATATTTCCTCTTTTACTGTTGGGTCTGGGTAAGAGAAGTTGGGGAACATGCTGATAGCATATATATATATGGAGAGTGGAGTGCTGAAGGAGATTTGTAACCTTTGCACAAGCAGGTCAGAAGCACAAGGGGCTGCTTGGCTGAATGACCAAGAACCAGAGAGAGGCATGACTGTGGGACATGGCTGAAAAGAAGCCATAATGAGTGGAAAGAACTGTTACCTGAGCATTTATGATTCTGAATTGTAACTGTAACCTGTTAACATCCTTAAAAACTCAGGTAGTATGGTCTATGACTTGTGTGTGGCCTTTGCAATGAAATATTGAATTCACCAACAAGGAGAAAGTGCTATGGGAGAGATGGCTGGTGTCAGAAAGATGGAAAGTGGAGGCATGTCAACTCGGTGGCACCCAACAGTAACATAAAAAGTAAGCCAAGTGTGTTCTTGAAAGAGCTTGCCTGTAGCCATCCAGTACTTGCTGAGACGCATTTAAATACATTTTACTTTGAGTAAACTTGTGTATGGATGAATTGGAACCCCAGTAGCAATGTTGTTGAGTTACCCTCACAGCAATACTACATTGAATATGGAGCATTTATACTGATTGTTTCATAAATCTAAATGTGTTTAATTTGGCCTGTTTAACCTTAGAATTCATCAGCAGATGAAGAAAATAATATGCCTACTGTGCACAATCTTGTCCCTATCATTCATGACCAGTCTCAGTACATTCATCATTTAGAGGCAGAAGTAAAGTTCTGCAAGGTAAGTGTCTTACTGAAAGTTTAACTTACCTATGTTAAAGTTACATATTAATTATTAATTTCACAAAAATTGCTATTGTTATTTTCCATTTTTATAGCAGTACGTTGACATTGGTTATCATATGATTGAAGGAAGCCCCTACTCCCCTGAAAGGCTGGTAGTTTAAACTCACCCAGAGGTGCCTCAGAAGGAAGGCCTGTCATCTGCTTCCAAAAGGTTGCAGTTTTGAAAACCCTTTGGAGCAGTTCTATTCTGATGCCTGGAGTCACCGTGGCTTAAAAATCAACTTGACAGCAACTAACAAAAGCAATGACATCATGCTATAGAAGCTTGGGGGTGATGGCTTTTAACTATGCCATTTCTGGTTGCTCTATTTCAAAGTAGCCCCTACCTGTGTCTTCATTGTTTGGTAATATGCTCTCATGTTTTGTAATTTTTCCTTTTTATCCCATACACTCTACCTGAGCACATGTCAGATGTCTTGGAATACTAATACCAATCATTCTCTCAAACTTGTCAGCTTACTAAAACTGGTATGATAGGCGGGGATTCTAAATTTCTAAGCTAAAGTTGTTGTATTGTCGATATTAAGTGTCTTACTTTGATCTGTAATCATAGTAATGACTCATACAGAAACCAAGTGACTGTTAATGTCGAAAGGTTCTATTCCTCGACGGTATGCACTGTAGTCTGCCACTGGTGCCGTCGTAGTCTTTCTGACTTTCCAGAGCGTGTTGGAGCTTTTGTTCCTTCCTTCTCCCTTGATTTCTTTTCTATTCTTGGGCTCTCTTTCCTTCTCAATACCAGTAGGTCAGCAGATCAGCAGACAGTGTGGTAACTTTTAAACTATCTGTTGATATTTTAAAAATTGTACTAAGCTGGTACCTATATAGAGACCAAGAAGGGAATATTATATGACGTAAAATCAGGAGGGTGTGCATCAAGATTAAATCCTTTCACCATACCTATTTGATCTGCATGTTGAGCAAATATTCTGAGAAGATGGGCTATAAGAAGAAGAACCTGACATCAGAATTGGATAAAGACTCATTCATTGTCTGTGATATGTATATGGCACAACCTTCCTTGCTGAAAGTGAAGAGGATTTGAACTTCTTATTGATACAGATCAATTTCTTGATATGGACTGCACTTCAACTGAAAGAAAGCAAAAAATCCTCAAAACTGGGCCAGTAAACAACATCATAATAAATGGGGAAAAGATTGAAGTTGTCAAGGATTTTATTTTGCATAGACTCACAATTAACAGTCATGGAGGCAGCAGTGAAGAAATCAAATGATGTATTATATTGGATGAATGTTATTTTTAGTCATCTCAAATGCATGTAAAAGTTGGAAGATGAGTAAGGAAGTCCAGAGAAAAATTGATGCCTTTGAATTATGGTATTGGGGAAGAATATTAAAAGTACATTGGACTCCTCCTAGAAGAATGAATAAATCTGTTTTGAAAGAAGTACAGCAAGAATACTCTGTAGAAGTAAAGCTGATGAGGCTTTGTCTCATGTAAGTTGGACATGTTACCAGGAGAGACCAGTTTCTGGAGAAAGACTTCATAGTTGGTAGAGTGAGTGAAAAAGACAAAGCCACTCAATGAGGTCGATTGACACAGGACTGGACAATGTTTCATTTTGTGGTACATAGTGTTGATATGACTTGGGACAATTTGACAACACTGCATGAAAACAAAATTTTATTTTTACGATTTGGCTGCTGTTAGGGTATAATGTCAGTCTATTGCATCTGAAGCCTTTAGAAAATTCATTTCTTGACTGTTCAAAGAGGTTCCTGATCTTTGGCCCATTAGACCTGGAGGATACAACCATTAATATGCAGTGCTCCTGGATTACCAGTTTAACTGAATTAATATCTTAGGAATTTTCCCATTAATCATCCCACAAGATATTGTGACTAAAATTTACCATTAGAATAACAAATAGAATAAATTTACCATCTATTACCTACAAACACCAGAGCCAGCAGGATAATAGAGGATAAAATGGGGTCCTTTAATCCATGACACAAACTATAATTGTAAGAGAGCAATGCTACCAAATTAAAGAATGTTAACCTTTATGTTTTTTTTGTGAATGCAAGGCCTTGAGTCAATTTTAAAGGAAAGGGTCATTTAGATGAACATAAAGGAGGTGTAAAGAACAGAGCATCAACAAAAGGATATGCTTAGGCTGAATTATGGCTTATTTATGGGAGCCAGAAGATATCTTCCTAAAATGGAGCACATCACTTAGAAATAAGTAATGTATAGATGAACTGGTAAAGTAGATGATTATGTAGCCTTGAAAGTCAGGTCTTTTTAATTTGAAACATTTAAACAAGGGAGTAATGTTTCAGAGGCCTAGAAATCTTGTGTAATTACAGGTTTGATTTTTTTTTCTGGATAAAATAAAAAGGAATTTGTACATGGTGCATAACAGCTTTTGATTACACTAGAAATAAAGATTAAGTAATTTATTATCAATCTGTTTTCCACAGTTTTAAATTAATACACATCTATTTATCCTCAGACTACATTTTTCTAAGATTATACAATCAAAATTCAGTGTTTCAAAGTTACTTGAAGTAATTATTTCTAATGTGACTATACCACTATCTCACTTTCTTTTCCTTTTATTATTTATTTGGATACTTTTCATATTTTTTTCAGAGTTATTTACCATATAATAGCAAGTTTAATTTTTATTTATAATTCCTTATACTACACTCTTTCAGACCAATGAAACACTCATTATCTGTAACTTTCTGAGGAGTTATTTATTCACAATTTCCCTCCATCTGGCTGCCCATTCATAGTGAACCAGTTTAACTTCTTATGCCTCTCTATCCCAGAACGTCCTGCTTTTAATTCTCTGTTGACTTTCAACTAGTTATTGACATTTGATCATGGATGATATTTTCTTATTTTTTGGCAGTATAACTTGTTCTGTTAAAAAAAATCTTTTAACTAAGATCTTTCTATAAGTCTGTTTCTTGGAGTAAAAAAGTTGTAAGAAACCACACACTGTGATGTACGGCTCTCGGCAAGTACTCTACTTACTACTCACCCCAAGTTTCTCTTTGTTTTGTAGCTGATGTTTGAGTTGCCTTTTGGTCTAAGTATAATTATAGTATTTTCAGAAATAGAGAGCATAAGTCTCCCATGTTTTATGTTACGTTGAACCCATTAGTATTCAACAAATAGAAGCACTGCATAAAAATGCTGAACATGTTTGTGTTTTCCTGCTTTTTACAGGAGGAACTCTCTGGAATGAAAAATAGAGTTCAAGTAGTTGTGCTTGAAAATGACAGGCTCCAGCAAGCGCTGAAATCTCAAAGAGGAGAAGAGACAATGAGAGAGCAGACACTTCTGGATGCATCTGTGAGCATTTTTAAAAGCTGTAAATTATATATTAGTTTACTTAATTGGGAAAAGCATCCAAACCTAAAATTCACTATAAAAACAGAACACATAGAAGGCCGAGTGTACAGTGATGCTGGGAGAGAGAAGCTTTGAAGTCAGAAGACAATGGGGTATTTTGTCCTAATTGCTTTCACCTTCTCCCTCTTGTCCTAAATGCTCCTTCCCATCCCTTCCACCTCAGTTTCCAAACTATTGGGAGGTTAACAGGAGTCCTATGCCAGAATTCGTTGAGGGCTCAAAAATTAACGTTCACTTTGGTGGAATGAGTTCTGCAATCAAATGATTTTATGTTGCCTCATATCGACTCCAGTTTCCTCTCAGAACATATTGACGTTTCTTGGCCCACTACCTCCCCCCACAATATGGAAAGCTTGCATTTGCACAATCTTGTCCCTATCATTCATGACGTCTCAGTACAGTAATCATTTAGAGGCAGAAGTAAAGTTCTGCAAAGTAAGTGTCTTATTGGAATTTTAACTTACCTATGTTAAAGTTACGTATTAATTATTCATTGCACAAAAAATTGCTATTGTTATTTTTCATTTTTATACCAATATGTTGACATTGGTCATCAGGTAGTGTGTTATACAGGAAATGTTTGACACTTTGTGTTAAATCTAGATGCTGCTCAAAGCCTTAGCTTAGATTTCAGTTGTATTTCTCCACATTTTTCTTGTGTGCTGAAATTCAGTAAGTCTTATTAGCAGAATGATGTAGTAGAAAGGATATTGGTCAGATGACCAAAGGATTAAAATATTATTCTTAGCATTGTCACTAACAAGGGACAATTTTTAGCTAGTATCTTTGGAGGGCTTTCCATGGTATAGTTCTCAGTTTCTTTAGTAGTAATTTGAGAAACTAAATCCAAACCTACTGTTTTTTTAGGCTAATTTACATGCTATAGAGTAGCTTTTAACCACAAACTTTTTAGTTAGCAGTCCAACTGATCTGACATTGCTACAGAAGATTCACCTACATTTGGAATTCTCAGACCTTAATATGAATATTTGGGGTTTGTGTCAACAGTGTCTATTTCAGACTCTGTCTCTAGAGATTCTGAGCCAGCTGCGAACTTTTAGCAAATTATCTACATGATTCTAATACTGGTAGACCACAGTTTGAGGAACATGGACTAGATGATCTATAATTTGTGACACAAAATTCTAGTAGTGATATATACTCAAACTCCAAACTTACTTTGAGACGATTGTGACTCATACTGACCCTACGTAAAGGATGGAATTGCCCCTGTGGGTTTTCAAGACTGCTGAGGCTTTCAAACTGCTGTCCTTCCTTTAGGTTGGCAGTCCAACATCCAATGGAACTAACACAACCCACTACACTGCTAGTGCTCATGTGTTGATATATATTTAGCATTTAAGTTTATTTTCGACTGTAACTTATCAAGTTTGCCTAAAATTTTTTTCACTCTTGCTATACCTGTGTATTGCCATCAAGTCAATTTTGACTCATAGTGACCCTGTAGGACAAAGTAAAATACCTCCTACAGTTTCTGAGGTTTTAAGTCTCTTCACTGTAAAAATTTGTTTCTGAAGGTTTACATAGTAATTAATGTTAATGATTGAAAATTTTAATTTTACTTGCTTCTATGCAATTTGAAGATGATTTGTCATTTACAAAATAATTAGATGTACTAACTTTAAAGTTATTATATTGATTTTGCTTCAACTATATTATCACTTAGCAAGCAGCAATTCAAGTATAGTTTTCAATGTTTATTGAATGGCGAAGAAAGGGAAGTGAAAAAAAAAAAAAAAAAAGGAAGTGAACTCTGAAAGGAAATGAGGCAGACAAGTGAATTAGAGGGCAGAAATGAGTACTAATGTGAAAGGGGAAGGAAATGATGGTGAAGGCACACACGTTTTGCAGTATGAGCAAAACTTATCAAAGAGAGCTGTGGTCATAAGTACAAGAGCACAAGCTCTTAAAGAATTGTCTTTATTTCTTTTAGTGTTCACATAAGCTAGCATACCATGCAAAGATGTAAGTGACAGTTGCTGAGGTGTCATGTCACCTTGAGAGGACACAAACACACACAGAGATTTTAATTTCAAATATATATTTTTTTCATTTTGGTGAAATTATACAATCAAGAATACACAATTCCAACAATTTCCACATCTATAATTCAGCAACGTTGATCATATTATTCAAGTTGTGCTACCATTCTTAAAATCCCTTTCCAAATCATTCTACTACTATTAAACTCCCCGCTTCCTAAGCTCTCCATCTAATCTTTCTAGTCAATTTCAGCTTACGTTGATACTTCTTTAAAAGAGCACAGTGCTTTGTTAACTAAGGAAGTTGGATTTGGGGGTTTGTGTGTATATTGTTGTTCAAAGAAGGTCAACTGTTATCTCAGGACAGTAGTTACAGGGGTTCTAGAGTCTAGAAAATGATTCTGGAAAATCTGAATTCCAATGGCAAATTTAAATTTGTTCTTCATTTTCCTCCTTGATCAACTTTTGTATAGAATTTTGTATCAGCTTGTTTGTTTTAATTTACTTAAAAAAAACCATTTTATTGTGCTGTAGGCAAAAGCTTACATATTAAATTAGTTTTCTCCATCAGATTAATTCTCAGACACATTGTTCTATGACAGTCCCCATAAAGTGTCAGTATTCTCCCTATTTCCCCTCAGATTGCTCATTTTCATTAGTCCAGTTTTCTTGTACCAACTTGTCTTCTTATTTTGGGCTTTGGGCAAATTTTGCCCCTTTGGTCTTTTTTAGATGATTGTCCTAAGGTGCACATTCTTCCCAGGTGGGGTGTTTGTTGTATAGTCTTGTCTATTATTGAGCTTTAAGATGGCCTTTGAGAGTGTCTTCAGTTTCCTATTAGGTGGTTCTTCAACACAAATGGACAAGACCACTTCGTATAACTAGCTCTAGACGTATTCCCGGGCCTCCTCTCTCTACTGTGGCCACCTGGGTCCTTGACTCTTGCCGTTTTTCCTGCACTTTCCCTCTTTAATCTGTTTCATGTTCTTATTTTGCTTCATTATGGGTTTGTTTACATGGTGTCTTTGTCTTATTAGGGAATTTGTGAAGCAGCCTTCCTGCACTCCTCACACAGAACTGCTGTTGACTTTTACTAATATGGCCACACAGTGCCAGGCAAGCTGGCAAGGCACCTCCATTCCATACCACTCTTAAATTGTTGTTGTTGTTGTTGTTGTTGCTATTTTTGTTCCGTTTCTTCTTCCAATAAGTGTTTGATCTAATTGTTCAACTTTTCATTTTATGTTTAGGGTTTCAAGATCGTCACGTGTCTCTGTGTCATTCGGCTTCTCAAATCTGTGTTCTAGACAGACAGCGCGGTGTGTCTCACTGGGTCATGATCTGAAGACTCGCTTTAAGGGGTTTCCCTGTCACTTTCAGAGCTGTTGTGCCCACGTATGACTTATGTCGTTGAACGAAAACATAGACCTTGGAGTTTAACTTGAATAAAACTTTTTAGATACCTTAACTAAATCAATAGATAGTTTACTTTTTTTCCTCAAGTCATTGCCATCAAGTCAGTTTCAACTCATAGTGACCTTGTAAAACAGTAGAACTGCCCATGTGGGCTGTGAATCTAGACAGAAGTAGAAAACCTCACCATTGTTCTGTGGAGCAGCTTGTGCATTTGAACCACCACCCTTGTCATTAGTGGTCCAAACTGTAACCCATTACAGCAGCAGAGTCCTGTTTGCTTTTTTTAAGATACTTGTTAATGAGTCAACTATGTTGATGTGAGAACTTGTTAAATCAATGAACTTATTTGAATATAAATCCCAAGTAACATAAATCATAATGCATTCTTTAGAAAGTTATGTAGTAATAATGAACATCTACAGATGACTATTGTTGATGGTTATAATGTTCCAGGCACTGTCTTTATGCTTTGTCTATCTTATCTCTAAATTTTCACAATAGCCATGAGAGGCAGATATCTTTATCAGATGATTAAGTTAATGTACACAGAGGTTAAGTAATCTAAATAACTGGTCTAATGTCACAAAGGTAGAGAAAGGCAAATTAAGGAAGGAGTCAAACCTAGGAATATCCAATTCTTTACATCCATCCTTCTGGCTTCTAATACCATCTGTGTGCATAAATGAGGAAAAGCTTGTCAATACTGAATGAAATCATCTTTGTTTGCCAGGGGATAGAAGTGTACTACCAGCAGAGTAGAGGAAAGTCTTGTCGTTGTTGCCCTTCACTTAAGCCTTGGAATTGGATGGTTGACTACATGATTTAGCTTTTGGCTGAGTTTTTGACATTGAAGTTGAAGGAGTGAGCAGATTCTTTAAGAAACAAAAGCAAAAACCTTTAACCATTAGAATTATGTTATATGTCATGTCTATCTTCACTCTTAAATTCCGTTTCCTTCCTATAGATTTTTCCTTCATGGAGGACTTTTCTCAAAAAGTTATTACAAATATGCTAATTACTAGAAAATTTTTCGTGTGTATTCTTTCAAGAAACTAAGAACTTTTTTCTACATCTTTACCAAATCACTGTGTGGCTTAGTTTCCTGATCTAGAAATTGGAAATAATAATAGAACCTCACTTGTAGGATTGTTGAAATGATTAAATGAGTTAATATAAACAAAGCACATAAAATTATGTCTGACATGCAATAAATTCTACATATGTTAACAATTAGTAGTAGTAGTATTCAGTCCTCTTGGAAATGAGGAAAGATGCCGGAACAATCAAGAGAGTGCTTTCAAGAGTGTACATTAGAAGAGTAAAGAATAATTATTCTGTTCTTTGGATGAGGATACTTATCTCTAGCCTTCATTACTCATTTATATGATTGCATTACTCATTTATATGATTGTATGTAGCTACAGGTATTTAACTTGTAATACCTTTTATTGAATAGCATCCTAACAGTCTAAAGATATAAAATGATTCTGTACTGCTAGGCATATGCTTTTGAGCACCCATGCTCAGTTCTTGAACATTTAGAGGCATATGGTTTTCTTTTCCTTTCCTCTTAGGTAGATAGCAGCATTCCAGTTGTAAAGCATGCAGGTTTATATTAAATTGGATAGCAATTGCAATAAGTGGCACATTTTATTTTAGGGAACTATGCAGAATTCTTGGATTATACCAGGCGAAGGTTCTGGGGTGGATGAAGCTGCAAAGAGACCATTGTCCCATGACAAAACAGATTGGGTCAAAGCTGAGGCTGAAAAATGGAAACTAGAACTGGTGAGTGTTGGCTGCTTCTCACTTACACGTTTGCATTGGATTTACCATTTCTGTGTTACCTCTTTAAGTGTTTAGTGACCGAAATATAGATACTACAGTTTGTGAAAAATTGTATTTTTACCCTCAAACATAAGGATGGTTTCAACACAAGTGTTTAGTAAATATGAGATAAAAGCACTTTATTTTATAAAACAAGGCAGAGTTACAATTTAGAGGAAAGTATAACTACCAAGCTTATAGGTTGTCTTGGCTCTCTTGGCTGTCTTGCTTTCTATGTATGTAGGAAAACTCACGTGGGAAGCTAGGCCATCAGCAGCTTTTTTAAGTCAGAGGAAGAGGACTGAATTTTAAGATTCAAATGATTACTAACATAACCTCATGAGAATGTACTTGCCAGATACTCTTAACTCAGTATGCTGAGATCTATTTTTAAAGATACAAATTTTGGAACACATAAAACTCTCTTTTCAGTGACAGTAAAATAGAACATTATACATGGGGGGCAGGGATGAATTAAAATTATAAATGCAAGCATCACTAAAGTGAGTAATTTGGTTCACTAAGGAACCCTGGTTGCGTAGTGAGTTATGAATTGGGTTGCTGACTTCATGGTTCGAGTTTAAAAGTACCAGCAATTCTATGGGAGAAAGAGGAGGTTTTCTGCTCCCGTAAAGAGTTAACAAACAAACAAACCCCAAACTTGCTGCCAACAGGTCAATGCCAACTCACAGCATTCCTATAGCACAGGCTAGAATTATTTACAACCTCAGAAATCCACAAGGGCAGTTATACTCTGTCCTATAGGGTGGCTGTGAGTTGGAATCGATATGATGGCAATGATAGATATATTAAATGTTACCCATAAAAATAAAACAGTTTCTCATAGTCCATTTCAATTTACAGAGATCCTATAGAACTAGCCCAGAGGATTTTCAAGGCTGTAAGGCTTTATAGAAGCAGACTTCTGCATCTTTCTTCCACAGAGCAGCTGGTGGGTTCAAACTGCTGACCTTTACAGGTAGCAGCTGAGTTCTTAACCATTTCACCATATAGAATGGTATTAATGATTTTAACAAATAGCATTGCTTGTTAGGAGTCTGTGCTCTACACTCATTATATATAAGAGTTCAGATTACTCTAAATAAATAGCAGACACATTTTTTATTAAAAGCAGCAGCAGCAACAGCAAAACTAAGTTAAACTGAAACCTTAGGTGTCTGGTTTCATTTATATTAAAAATTAAATAGCATATTCATTACTCCTCCTGACTTTGCTCTGTTCACTGTTACTCAATTACACCACCTCTATTTAACAATCTCGGTATGCATTACAACTCAAAAAGAAAACAAAAATCCTCACAACTGGACCAATTATGTATCCAGTCTACTATTGTTTCCAACTTGAGATTATTGTGAATATTACATCTATGAACAATTTGTATTGGTGTGTATTATGCACATTCACAATGGATTTTTCATATTAGGATACATTTACGTTCAACTTGAATGGATAATAGCTGGCATTGCCAAGGTCATTTTATGATTTTTAACTGTTACAGCAGCATATGAATGATACCATTGTTCTACATTCTTGTCAAAACATAGTATTTTCGGTTTTTCTTCTTTACCTGCAATGCTATCTCATAAAGTTTTATATTTTACATTTCCTTCATTGCTAGGGTGGTTTTTAATATACTTAGTGGGCATTTGATATCCTCCATTGTGAGATGTCTGTTCCCATATCCTGTTAATTAATTTTTATTGAATTATCCTGTTATTAGGGTTCTTTATATACAAGGGGGTAGCAAAAAAACAGAAAAAAGTTCCAGTGGGTGGAGCTTTCATATTATGCATTGAGCAATTCCCTCTGACTTAGTGCACCCAGTGGCATTGCCTGGGAAGGTTCTCTCTGTTCAGAGAATTTTTTTATAAAATTAGTTTCATTTGAATCTCATTTTTTGTGATAGCCAATTCAAGAGAACAGCATGTAGATGTGAAATTTTGTTTCCTGCTCAGGAAACCTGTTGTGATGTGAACACAGCTTATAAGGACAGCACTATGTGAAAAGCTCAAGTGGAAGAGTGGTTTTCTCGTTTCAAAACGGTGAAATGGAGATAAACCTCATTCTGGATGCCCATCAACTTCCCAAACAGAGGACAATGTCGACAAAATTCGTGCACTCATGCTCAAAGACCGATGATGGACATTGAAGATATGGGAATATTATCTGGACTATTTTGGAGTTTGCTTCAGCGAATTTTACAGAAGATTAGGGAATGAGAAGGGTCATTTTGAAATTTGTGCCTTGGGTTCTGTCTGACTAGGAAAAAGAGCAAGAAGTGGAAGCACGCTGTGCTTTGAAATAATTGCTCCGAAGCAACCCAGGAGACATGGTGCTATTCTTACGACCTTGAAAGCAAACATTAATCAAGCCAGTGCAAGACACCATTGTCACCTCACCTCCAAAAAAGCTCCTCAAGTGAAATCAAAGATCAAGACTACACTCCTTTTCTTTTTGATGTGAGGGGGATAGTGCATTTGGAGTTCATTCCACCAGGTCAGACTATTAATCAAGCTTTCTATTTAGAGGTTCTGGAAAGATTGCAAAACAGTGTGAGACGATAAAGGCCTGATTTGTGGCAGATGTGGGACTGGTTTTGCTTCCACAACAATGCCCTGGTCACACAGCCATCTCAGTGCGCCAGTTTTCGGCAAAAATCAGCATGCCTCTCTTGCCCCATGCACCTTATTCTTCTGACCTTGCTCCGTGCAACTTATTTTTGTTTCTGAAAATGAAGAGGAACATGAAAGGACAGTGATTTGATGACATAGAAGAAATAGAGAAAAAAACGTGGGAGGTGCTGTCAGCCATCTAAATAGAAGAGTTTGAAAACTTTACAAAAATGGAATAGGATTGACAAATGTATTAAAAGTAAAGGAACGTACTTTGAAGGTGATGAGGTTGTTTTGTAAAAAAATTTTAACAAGGTTTTCTGGGACTTTTTGTATACCCCCTCGTATTTTAGATAAAAGATCTTTGTTGGTTTTGTATACTATTAATGTATTATCCTAATATGGGACTTACCTTAACACTTATGATAGTTTTATCTCCCTTCCTCCCACCCTCTCTCCCTGTTTTATTTTATCTTTCTTTTTGAAAAGAATATGTTTATGTCTTATTCCCATTTTAAAATTAGATTATTTATCTTGAGGTCTATTATAAACAGTTTTATTGGCATATAATTCATGTACCATACAATTCAATGGTTTAAATATATTAAAAAATACAATCATCATCACAATCAATTTTAGAACATTTTCTTAATCTTTGCACCCCTCATTATTGGCTCTGTCATAACTCTAAATGACTATCAATCTAGTTACTATTTCTGTGGATTGACTCTGCTGGGTTTCAGGTACAGAAAATCATACCCCAAAGCCCCAGTAACCACCACAACAAAATAAAGCACAGAAAAACCTTAATCCAAGAAAAAGCAGAAGATAATAGATACTAGTACAAACTAGAAAACAGGTCTAAGATAACAAATGATTGTATATCAAAGTTTAACCTACTTTTCCAGGAATCCACTTTCAAATGCTCTCTGTCTGAGGGCATGACTAGCCACATCCCTGGTCAGTGGTCTGAGAAGATTCAGTGGAAACTCTGCAAATGGATTTGGGCTTAGACTGTCACCCTTCTGTAAACCGGGTGCTGAGAATTTACGCTCTAATACAATTCCACTCTCTGATTTCGTAGTTTATTTTTTACAATCCTTGGATCACATGGGCTGGTATGCTCCTTCTCTGTGGACTTAGCTGGCATCTATCTTAGATGCTGCTTGTTTTAAGACAAGATAAAGGCTTTTTAGGTGAATGAAATTTCCACTCAACATTAGTTAACAACAGATCACAGTAGAGGATTGATTTGTATTTGAAATTAATTATCTTTCTATTCCTTCCTAATATATATGCTTATAATAAATATTTATAATAAATAATTTATCTAGCACATATTTATTTTGTGTTAAAATACAGTAGACACAATATATATGTAAAATCTGAGCCTTACCCTTGTGAAGCTTAAAAATTATAATTGAGTATTTCCTTTGAGTGGTAAAATTTGATCAATGCAGTTTTGTAAACCCTCCCACCCCTACCATTTATGGTCATTAAAAAAATTATTTTATTGGGGGCTCTTACAATTCTTCTCACAATCCATACATACATCCGTTGTGTCAAGCACATATGTACATTCACTGCCCTCATCTTTCTCAAAACATTTGTCTTCTACTCTAGCCCCTAATAGCAGCTGCCCATTTTTTCCTTCCTCCCCACGCCCCCCTCCCTCATGAACCCTCCATAATTCACAATTATGTTAATTTTTGTTAACGTTACACACGTTACACTGTCTGACGTCTCCCCCCGCCCTCTTCTCTTCTGTCCATCCCCCAGGGAGGAGGCTATACGTAAGTTCTTGTAATCGGTTCCCCCTTTCTATCCCACATTCCCTCCACCCTCCAGGCATTGCCACTCTCACCACTTGTCCTGAAGGGGTCATCTGTCCTGGATTCCCTGTGTTTCCAGTTGCCATCTGTAAGGGTCATTTTTACACCTTTGTATTTACCTAAGAAAAATTGAACATTTTGGTTGGATTTGGAAAAGTCTGTATTTAAAGGATATATTTTCCCTCCTCTTGGGTAAAAAGGAAAAAAAATACCAACTTTAATGTTAATGATAGAAATTTGATTATAAAACACAGCACACGGGGAATTATAATATTTTTTTTTTCTTTTCTAAAGGAAAGACTCAAACTTACTTATATGGACAAGTATGAAATCCTGGAATCTCAAATGATTTCATTAAGGTAAAGTGAAATCATCCGTTTAAAGTCATACTAAAATCTTATGTTTAAATATTTATTGACATGCAATTTGTACTCAATATCAGAATATTTTACAGTATTTCATATAACATGCAATATAATCTTTTCCGCAGATTATTGGACATGTTGTTGCTATTGTTAGGTTCCAACTCATAGCCACTCTGTGAGCAACAAAACAACGCAGTGCCTGCCCTTGTGCCAGCCTCACCGGTGTTCTTTATGTTGGAGCCCGTCCTGCAGCCCTAAGGCAGTCTCTCCTCAAGGGTCTTCCTCTCTTTCACTGGTCTCTCCCTCGACAAAGCATAATACCCTTCCCCAAGGGCTGGTCTCTCTTGATGACAAGTCCAAAGAACATGAGACAAAGTCTCGCCTCCCTTTCTTCTAAAGAGCATTCTGATGATACTTCTTCCAAGTTATTGCTCAGTTATTTGCTCTCAGGGCAATGCAAGGTACTTTATATATAGTTCACAAACAGCATAATTGAAATTCATCATTTCTTCTGCAATATTCCTTATTCTTTGTCCAACTTTCACATGTATATGAGGCGATTGAAAATACCATGGATTCAGTCAGGTCTACCTTAGACCTCAAAATAACATCCTTGCTCTTCATCATTTTAAGTGGGTCTTTTATAGCAAGTTCGTCCAATGAAATACATCATTATAGGATATAGAGCCCTAGAATTATGAAGTTCTTTTTCAGATTCTATTTCAGAGAACCATGAGCTAAGCCATAAGCCTCATCCTTCCTCAGTTTTGAAATATTTGTATTTTCTTTTTAAAATAAGAATTATTAATAAAAAAGAATTATTAGCTAACCTTATAGAAATAGCTATTTGTAGAGTACATATAATTTTAATTTTAAAATTATAATACTACAATAATTTGAATACATACACGATGAATTTGAGTATACATGATTAATTTTCACATATTTTAATGTTTTCAAAATCCAAATAAGACCTATATGTTGTAGTTTAATTAATAATGATTTATTATATTTAAAACGAGAAAAATAGTTAACTATTTTCTTTGTTAAAGATGATTTTATCTATTTATTTATTTTAATAAATAATTTTATTGGGGCTCTTACAACTCTTATAACAATCCACACATCAATTGTATCAAGCACATTTGTACATATGTTGCTGTGGTAGTAATATATATGTAATTGTCAATTTAAAGATTAAGCGTGTAGGGGTCACGTTTAGGCTGTCAATCAGGTCATAGCCAATGAGGCGTGTGTGTGTGGGCATAGCCTTCCCCTAAGGATTCTGGGAATTCTAGTATTTCCTCCTTGGAAGTGGGAGACTCTCTGCTCACACCCTGGGAGACATAGCAGCTGACAAGACACATGGATCCACCCTGATGCAGCCCTGAGTGCTGGAGAAGCCATGCAGAGACCCCTGCCAGCACTGACATGTTTCCAATGACACTGGATCTAAAGACTTTGTACCCACTGGCCTTCTTCTACATTCAGCGCCATTGCATGTATCTTATGAGTCTGAAGAGGACTATATAGATTGGTATCGGACACATGGGCTAATATTGGACTTAGGGACTTGATCTGGACTGGGCTGGGATGTTTTCTCAATGTTGAGTTGCTCCTATATATAGATCTCTTTCTTATACACATATGTGTGTCCATGGATTTGTTTCTCTAGTCTACCCAGAATAACACAGTTACCATTATTATTTCCAAAACATTTTCTTTCTACTTGAGCTCCTCTTTTTCCCCCTCCCTCCCCTACTCTCCCACCCTTGTGAACTTGTGATAATTTATAAATTATTTTTATTTTCTTGTTTTACACCATCTGCTGTCTTCCTTCACCAACGTTTCTGTTGTTTGTACCCCTGGGGAGAGGGGGGTTGTATGTTGATCGTTGTGATTGGTTCCCCCTTTCTCCCCCTTCTCCCCCCATCTTCCCCCTGCCCTCATGTTATTGCTATTCTTATGATTGGTCCTGAGGAGTTTATCTGTCCTGGATTCTGTGTGTCAAGAGCTCTTATCTATACCAGTGTTCTGTCTAGACTAGTGCTCTGGTATAGCTAGATTTGTAAGATGGAACTAGGGTCATGATCATGGCGGGGAAGGAAGCATTATAGAACTAGAGGATTGTTGTGTGTTTCCTCAGTACTATACTGTACCCTGGCTGGCTCTTCCTCTTCCTTGTGATCTTTCTGTGAGGGGGTGACTAGTTGTCTACGGATGGGCTTTGAGTCTTCATTCCGACCAACCCCATCGTTGGTTTCAAAATGGTTGTTTGTTTTGGGTCTTCTGATGCCTGATACCTGATCCCATCGAAATCTCATGATCACACGGGTTGGTGTGCTTCTTCCATGTGGGCTTTGTTGCTTCCCTGCTAGATGGCCGCTCGTTTAACTTAAAGCCTTTAAGACCACAGATGCTGTATCTTGTAACAGCCAGGCACCATTAGTTTTCTTCACCACATTAGCTTATGCACCCAGTTTGTCTTCAGCAATTGTGTCAGAAAGGTAAGGATCACAGAATGCCAGATTATTAGAACAAAGTGTTCTTGCGTTGAGGGAGGACTTAAAGATTATTTTAAATATTGACAAGTTATGTACTATTTTATAAGTGGTCTAATGTTTACTTTCTTGAGTTTATCTTTATATGTATATATTTTAAAAATTTTTATTAAATACTTTTATTATGGGCTCTTACATCTCTTATCACAATCCATGCATTCATCCAGTGTGTCAAGCACATTTGCACATATGCTGCCATCATCATTTTTAAAGCATTCTCTTCCCACTTTACCCTTGATATCAGCTCCTCATTTTTCCCCTCCCTCCCCCACCCTCCTTCCCTCATGAACTCTTGGTAAGTTATAGATTATTATTTTCATATCTTACACTTTTCCATTGTTCGTCCCCCTGAGAGGGGATTGTAGGTTGATCCTTGTGATGGATTCCCTCTTTCTCTCTCCAGCCTGCCCTAATCCTCCTGGTATCTCTATTCTCATTGTTGACCCTGGGGGGTGTATCTATCCTGGATTCCCTGTGTTACGGGCTCTTGTCTGTAGCAGTGTGTATGTTCTGGTCTAATCCAATTTGTAAGGTAGAATTGAGGTCATGATAGTGGGGGGAAGGAAGCACCAAAGAACTAGAGGAAAGTTTGTGTTTTCATCGGTGCTATAGTGCACCCTGACTGGCTCATTTCTTCCCTGTGACCCCTCTCTAGGGGGTTGTCCAATTGTCTACAGATGGGTACTGGGTCTCCACTCCATGCCCCCTACTATTCACCTTGAGTATGATTTGATTTCTTTTGCAATTTAATTCTTCAGTTTTCGAATTAATTGTGTTTCTAGATCATTGTACCAATGTGTATGTGACATATTTAGTCTTCTTCACAACTCAAATATGCCATCTTTACATAAAAAACAAAACAATTTGTAGTGAACTAGGCTTTTTTGAAAGTCAGACTTCCTCTATGTGTTACTTTAAAGAACGCTTATTATGTTAGAGAGTTTATCTTGGGCACAGCACCTAACCTTCCCCTGCCTCTACCCATCCCCTCCCTCCTCCTAACCTTAGACTCTAGTCAGATTTACTCCACCCCACCCCGTGCCCCCCAAGGGAAAAACAAAACCGGAGTTGTCTTTGGGTCTTTTCCATCTTCCTCGTGCTGCCAGACAGTCTTCCAAATCCCAGGTATTGCAGACATGTACGACAGCTAGGTGCCTGGGATTTTGGTGTCTCCTCTAAGATAGTGAGCAAGTTAGGGTAGCTATGGGTCCCTGAGAGTACTAGACATGTTGAACTTAGTGAACCAGTGAGCCCCTAAGCTGGAGTAAAGTGTCTGCTTGTAGCAATTTAGGAATTTAGAGTTAATTTTCTCATATTTGAGCTCAGGAAATCAGTTTGCTTTTAAAATATACACAAAGATATGATTGAACAATTGAACTACTCAATTGTTTGATATGTAAATCATGTGCCAAACTGTTGAAAAAGAAGTTAGTTGGAATAAAGGTAAATACATTTAAAAAAAAAGAGGTTAGGCAAGAAAACTCCACTGCCCAATTTGACGTTAATAAAGCTTTGCTGAGGAAACAAAAACAAAGCCTTGTAACCATTGAGTCCATGGTGACTCATAGCCTCTCTATAGACCACGGTAGAACTGTCCCTGTGGGCTGTGAATCTTTACAGGACTAGAAAGCCTCATCTTTGTCCTGTGGAGCAGGCTGGTGGTTTCAAACCGCTGACCCTTGTGGATTGCAGCCCTTGAAAAAAAATGAGCAATAATAGATTAGTCATAGAGAAAAATTTATGATCTTTACGGTGATTGTTTATTCTCTACAAATTGTACTTAAAGGTGTTTGTATTTGAAATAGGGCATTTCCCTTATATCAAGGATGCTATATTATACCTTCTCCAGGGCTTTCTACTTTCATAAAGAGTTACAATCTTGAAAACCCACAGGAGTAGTTCTGCCCTGTCCTATTGAGTGACTATGATTGATATTGACTTGACAATGACATGAGGATTTTTTGTTTGTTTGTTTAATGGAACAGAGGTGGGAACCTATGGGAAGAGATCCAGTATCCGATGTAGACCAATCTGTATTAAATCCTTATAAGAACTTGGGCTATTCCCTGACATGATTGCTGAAGACAAAATGGGTGCATAAGCTAATGTGGTGAAGAAAGCTGATGATATGCACCTATCAAAGATATAGCATCTGAGATCTTAAAGACTTGAAGATAAACAAGCGGCTATCTAGCTGAGAAGCAACAAAGCTCACATGGAAGAAGCACACCAGCCTGTGCGATCACAAGTTATCGATGGGTTCAGGTATCAGGCATCAAAGGCCCCAAAGCCAAAACAAAATCATCTCAGTGTGAATGAGGGGAGGGCAGAGTGGAGAAACAAAGCCCATCCATAGTCAGTTGGACACCCCCTGTCAGAAGGGCCACAAGGAAGAGACGAGCCAGTCAGGGTGCAGTATAGCACCGACGAAGCACACAGATTTCCTCTAGTTCTTTAATGCTCCCCACCCCCCCACTACCAAGACCCCAATTCTACCTTACAGATCTGGCTAGACCAGAACATGTACACTGGTACAGCTAAGAGCTCACAACACAGGGAATCCAGAACAGATAAACCCCTCAGGACCAATAAGGGGAGTAGTGAAACTCGGAGGGTAAGGGAAACGGCGGTAGAGGAGAAAAGGGGAACCATCACAATGATTGATGCATGGCCCCCTCCACAGAAAAGTGAGTGAAGGGAGACAGCGGTTGGTGTAAGACATGGGAAAAAAGTTTTATAAATTATCAAGGGTTCACTGGGGATTGTGGGGAAAAAATGAGCTGATACCAAGGGCTCAACATAGAAATTGTTTTGAAAAGGATGATGGCAACTTATGTACTAATGTATGCATATATGTATGGATTGTGATAAGGGCTGTAAGAGCCCCCAATAAAATATGTATGGATTCTGGTAAGAGCTGTAAGAGCCCTCAATAAAATAAAAATTTAAAAAAAGAATAAAAATAAATAAATAAATCCAATCTACAACTCTGTACAATGATAACTCTCAGTTGTCAAACTCAATTCATTCTAAATCTGTGTCAAACACTGAAAAGGTCAAGAACTAAATATATCTTTACATAAGAAATAATGGTAAATCAAATAATTGGTTCTGAGACCCAGAATTTATACTTATAAATTAATTTTCCAGGACTTTAAATCACTAAGGAGACTTTTAGCCTTCTCACTTCTCACTGTCTCACATATGCTATTTCTTTGAGTTATTTCTGATTTAATCAAATAAATCAACTTTTCAATCAAAAAAAAAGAACTTGGACCAATTATATCTGAATATCATTTTCTTCAGTGCATCAAAAAGTATATATATTCAACAATTCCACACCTATTTCTCAAGATTGCAGTACGAATCAATTATTATATGTACATCACCTTGCTTATCTCATGAGTGGTAATAGTAGTAATTATCACTATGATGGTGATACACTTAAAAGCAGTGGAGTTTTATGTGGCCATTTATTAAAAATGATATTCTACATTTTCCCTCTTTTTAGGAAAGACCTAGCTGAATATCAGAAAAAATGTGAAGATCTTCAGGAGCGACTAAAGCATAAAGAGAGTCTTCTTGCTGCTAATGTTTCTAATCGTGTTGGTGGGCTTTGTTTGAAATGTGCTCAGCATGAAGCTGTTCTTTCCCAAACCCATAATAATGTTCACATACAGACCATTGAAAGACTGACCAAGTAAGTATGCTTCTACACATGGACTCTTTGGCAACATGGAAACTTGTGTCTTTAAAATGGACATTGTGTTCTGCTTTAATCACTATGTTAAATCAGATTTAATTAAGCTTCAAATAAAATGGATTTTGTAAATTTCCTTCATTGTATAGCTTTGCTGACGTCAAGAGTAGGTGGGTTCTGTGAACCCTAGGTAGGCTTGTCACTTTGGACGAGCAACTGAACTTCTTTGGGTTTTTTGTATGAAGAATTTCCTTTCAAACAAAAAACACAACTAAACCCAAACCAAACTTGTTGCTGTCAAGTTGACTCCCAACTCATGGCTGTCCAAGAGCAAAATGCTATAGAGGATTCTGCTCTTTCGGCTTTTCACGGTTGTGACCTTTTGGTAGCAGATTGCTAGCTCTTTCTTCCATGGCATTGCTAAATGGTTTGAACATCCAATCCTGTGAACTTGAGCACCAGCTGTGCCATCCACAAGCAACTCTCTGTTTCACAGGCCGTAGGGAGTAGAACTTACCTAATAAAAGAGGAGGGTGTTCATTTTGTGACTCTTCATTAGTAAATAGGGAAAGGAATTCAGTTTGTGACTCTCGAAGAAAGTACAATTAGAAGGTAAAACAACACCTGGTGGACAACCATGGAAAAAGAATGATAGGAACAAAAGTTGGTAAGATCATGAGTAAGTGGCTGGCTTCATATTCTGGTGGTTGTAGTCACTTTGGAAGGCAAGTTAGTGTCATCCAACAATATTTAAATCATGCTTTTCACCTTTCAAGATATCCTAGAAAAGTAACTCAGGCATGTGTATGATGGGCATTTATAGTAGCATTGTTTGTAATGTGAACAGTCTAAATATCCTTCAGAGTAGAATAGCTAAACATGAGTTAGTCAAACTATGGAATACTTTACATAGAGAAAAACAGCCAGCAAATAGGCAAAAAGTTAGAAGAAGGTTGATTTATATGTACTACTATGGAGTATTCTCCAATACTTACTGTTGAAAGAATAAAACAACAAGGTAAAACAAGTCAAGATGGCTAAAGGGGCATTTGTTTATAAACATTTTATTGTGATTTAGGTAAAGGTTTGTTTATTGAATAGCTCATCCATTTCACATTCAACAATTTGTACATTCATACACATTTTGTTGAATCTATTGCAGTCTTTTCAAAATACCACCATTTATCCCTCTTCTCTCTCTTTTTTTTCTATTTCCATTCTTCTTTGTTTTCTAACCTCCTTTACTTTGTTAGGGGGTAAATGCTGCCCTTTGATCTTAAATGGTGATTATTCAATAACAGGGTGAGTTCAGATCCTCACCTGAAGATTGACTAAGAACTTTGGTCTCAGGGGTCCCACCTGTCTCTATACTGACCTGTAGGCCTTGTCTATTTTATGATTTTGTGTTTTGTTCCACATTTCATGAAAAAAAGAAAGATGTCCACACACAATCATGCAACGAATTTTCTGTAGGCTCATACCTATACATAGAAATGCATAAACAAAGATGTAAAAGGCTTAATGCCAAATATTTAACTGTGGTTACCACTAAGAAGTGGAAGAAGATATTAGAATTCAAAGTATGAATCAAATAGATCCTTAACTCTATTGGTAATCAATTTTATGAAGATAACATAATGAAAATTACGTTAAAAAGCAAAAGCTTATTTAAAATCACATAAATGAAAAGGAATAAGTTTAATACTAGTTAGTTTAACGAAACCAACCAAGAAATAAAACAAATTTTGTTTACATTTTCTTTTTTCTTTCTTTTTTCAAACATTTGTAATAGTACCTTTTAAAAATCCCTGTAAAGATAATGAGAAAAATATTTTAGTTTTTTAAGCTGAAATATTTGTGTTGATTCTAGATCTGGTAGTCATTAAGAAATTAGATTCTTTCTCAGTTATACTAAATTTGTGCTCTTAGCCTCTTAAAGTAACCTACTTAAGTTAATGCTCTGCCTGTCAGTAAGTATATCATTGTTTCATGTTCTTCACTAATAACCAAATGCAGAGAAATGTTTCTATTTTTTTCCTGTGGAAATTTCTGACTCTATGACTCAGCCTCCGATGGTGTATCCTGTTAGCTTATTGATGTAAAATGTTGACTATTGAGTGCTGTACTGACTTTGGAGAGTAGCCAATACATTTTAGGTTTCCCTCTCTTTTATGTGGAATTAGAAGTCTGATCCCCTCAGGAAGCTGTTGTTATAGCATTTCCTGTACTACATCTGTATGGAATTAGAACAAAAACCAAAACCTTAGTAGGAAAATCAGAAGAGTTTCCTGACCAATGTTGAAAGTGTGGTATTATGACACCACCAGTTGAAACTCCTTTCAAACCCACTGTAGCTCATGGGAGTAAGAGAGGCTCTCTGCTCCCTTAGAGATTTACAGTCCTGGAAACTACACAGGGATGCTATGAATAGGAATTTACTGATGGCAGCGGGTTTGGTTTCTGGTAGTAATGTACCACATGAGAATGAATAGTACAGCTGACAAGAAAGGCATCAGGTCGGACTTGGAGATAAGATCACCCTATCTTTATGGTCTTTGGCTAGAACATTAGGGAATTTTTGGAGAATATGTATAGCAACTATTGACAACATTGGATGCATTTTAAAATTGATATTGATGTCTTCATGGTGTTCTGAATTTCCATTTTTCACTCAGGCCTTAGTATGCCATGAGGTAGGTAAAAAAAGCAGTTTTCTTAATGTTCATAATACCTTAAAATGTTCAAAGTTCTCTCTGTAGTACATAATACCTTGGAGATGTTTCAGGGCACTTCTCAAAAATGAGAAGTTATTGTTGTGTACTCTCTGGTACCTTAGTCCAGCTTGAGATCTTGAGATGGATTATTGTAGTGTTTATAGTTGGTTTTGAAAGATTGTTTAAGAAATTCCCAGAAATGAGGAACAGGAAAATGTGTAGTCAGCTTTCTATACATTCTTAAAAACAATCATGATAATGCTTATTAACTATGCTTAGTAAAAACATAATTAATTAAAAAATTCTTACTAATACTTTAAAATAGTAGTAACTGTGGAATAGAAATCATAAGGTCTTTTAAAATAGTAGTAATTGTGGAATAGAAATCATAAGGTCTTTTAGTCCCTATACCAAGATAAAGCTATTACATACTTTTTTTCCTATTGCATACTTATAAGACCAACTCTTTCTACTGTATCTTAAACATTTTGTCCTGATTATTCAGGGCCTTTCTTGATTCTCTTTGCTCTTATTATTGAACTAAATTCCTTAAATATTACATGTTCACTCGTGTTGTGTAAGTGCATGCTTTTTCATTCCAGAACTAATATTAAAGTCCTTACTTCATCTTTCTGCTTTAGCTTCTCTTTCATTTGGATCATAAAATATTGCAGCAGTAAAACTGTTTTGCTTGCTTTGCTCCAAAAAACTCCTTGATCACACCCATCAAAACAGCCACATGACACTGTTGTGCAACCACAGGATTTTTGCTGTAGAATATGGGAAGTTGAAGGCATGCCCTCTCACTCACTCATGGATGCATTTTGTGTATTTGTACAATTTCAAATTGTGAAATTATGAAAGGCTTACCCAGCCATGGCTCTGGGATGGCCATGTGGACTGCCTTATTACCCTGGCTGGCTGCAATAGACTGCTTCTGAGGGGCAGCACAGTGGACTTAGAGTCAGACAATGAGTATGCTGTTAGATCCAAGAGAGATGCATGGGGCTGAAAACAGGAAACACATTAAGAAGCCAGCAGCCGTAAGAATGTGGACAAATCTGCCAGGCCTGAGCTATTATTGCTGCTCCTTTCTCGAGAGTACTAGCTATTTAAAATAGAATACATTAAATCAAAGCAAAACCAAAGTCTCACTAAAAAGTGTATACTCTTAACTTGCCAAAATGGCTACCTATATCTGTAAGCATGTATGTTTTTAAAGACTTTCTTCTGAGCTACTCAGATGGTCTGAGGGCTACCTGATGTATGTACTCATAAAGTATTTGCAGAAGTTGGGAGTAGTTTAGTCTAGTAGTTACATGGATTTTAAAAATTGTCATATGGTGTTCAATAGTAGGAAGCTGATGAGTTGATATTCAGAAAAAATGTTTAATCCACAAGTACCTCATGAAACTCTCTCATTTTCAACTCTAATTCCAAAAAAATCTAGTGGCTTTTCTGATTTAGGTAGTAAAATTTCAGATCTGTTAAAGAAGTGTAATATCACCACTTCTGTTTCCCTCTTGTAGCAAATTCTGTTTTCATTTGTTCTTTTGGTACCGATTTTACTGAATATCTGCTGTCTGGCTGACACTACTCTGGGCAAGAAGCTACTCAGAAAGAGATTAAGTGTATTAAATATAAATCTCCTTTAAGAAGAAATTTGTTAGATTGTAATCCTTCTGGGTCATATTACCTTTATATTTATAAGCACAGAGCTTTTTTTAAAAAATTCTTTTTATCAGAAGTTTGGAATTGAGGGCATAGTGTCAGCAATAAGTAAGAATATCATTGAATAGTAATTTTTGCTCTAAACTAGATTTTACAGCTTTAAGAAAAGTAGCTAGACAATGCCCATATTGACTTGAGGCTCTTAAAAAGTAAATTTTATTTTTTTCCTAGTTAAATTACATATTCTAGATGAAAGTAGATTCTTTTATGGTAGAGAGCTTTTTTAAAATGCAGATATATACTTAATTTTGATGATATCCACTTTATTTTGTATAACTAGAATAATTTAATATTGCTTTTATTTACTTTTTCATTTTATAATGATATCTGATTATGTTTGATCATTTTCTTTATAATAAAATTAGCTAAACTATGTTATATTTCTCAATTTCAAACAGAAGCAAATCAGAGAATTATAAAATGGAGCTCCCAATGCTCCCATGAATTTTATAACATTTGAAGCAATCTATTATGTTTTTTCAACAAAAAAGAGCTTTATGAAACTACTAATCAGCTCTTTGCCAGCTACATACCAAAGCATGATGGCATTCGGATCAGTTCTACTCCCAATAAATAGGTTAGCTTAGGATACTTCTGAGGATTGCTGAGGAAGGGGTAGGGCTAGGCAACAAGCAAACCAGTGGAATGCAATCTTGTTAAATGGTGAGTGTTGTATAGGCATGACCTGGGCACCTGAAGGGTGCACCAGTACTGCTCATTGAAGAAGAGAATGGGTTGCTAAATAGAAGGATAGAATTGAATGGAAAGGAACGGCAAAATAGAGGCTCGTAGAGGAGTATGAAAAAGAAAGGATGTATTTTGACCAAGTTAACAAGAGACAGAGAGAATCAGCAAAGTAAAGAAAACTTTAGTAGTCCCTTCTTTAAATAGAATAAATTCATACTTGCACATTAAGGTTTAATTTCTGCCTTTTCTATTTTGCTGCTTTTTAACTTTCCAGCTCCTTACCCCACCCCCCTTCTCTCTTTTTTGACTAACTTCCATTTTTTTTCTGGGCTTTCATCTGCAGCTGTTGAGTGTGCCAGTCCCTTCTATAATAGATTATTGTCCTACCCAGATGCAGGCCTGCCATGAGTGTTCTCGCTGCTCCAGCTTGCTTCTCACCATATAAGGACACTGGATCTTTCTGGGTTTGCTTTCTTATGTGCTGAATGGGCCTTCTCTGGCTCTTCTAATACCTGTTAATGCTCGTCTTTTCCTGACTTATGCGTACACGATTGTTTGATCATTTCTCCTTGCAAATGTTCATTTGTTGCCCACAGAGAGAGAGATGACTTAATGTCTGCACTGGTTTCCATAAGGAGCAGCTTGACAGATGTGCAGGAAAGAGAAGCAAGTGCTTATGAGCAGGTGAAGCAAGCTGTGCAAATGACCGAGGAAGCTAATTTTGAAAAAACCAAGGCAAGTCCAATAAGACTTAAATAAAGGCATGGCATAATTGCTGCTTTTTCTTTGACTAATTCTTCAGCTATTTTTCCAGAACTAAATTCTCTTTTCTAAAGGTATATAGTGCATACCAATATGTTAATGTTGACTTTTTTTCAGTGAAAACAAATGTACTATTTAAAGGATTCTTTTTCTTCTGGATAGTACAGCATGGTAAAGGACTTTGAGAGACGTGTATATGATGGAGGATACAGCATTAATTTCACTCCTTCCTGCCATCCTTAAAAGAGCCCTGAATGTAGTGGTTACAAATTGGACAGCTAACCACAAGGTCAGCAGTTCAAAGACAGCAGTTACTCCATGGTTGAATGATGGGCTTTCTACTCCCGTTAAGAGTTAAGTCTTGGAAACCCACAGGGACAGTTCTCCCCTGCCCTCGAGTGTCCTTATGAATCAGGAATGATTTGAAGGCTGTGAGTTTGGTTTTTCCATTATTGGACTCTGTTTTTAACACCTAATTTCAGTTGCTACTACTCTTTACTGAATGTTATCTATAAATTAGCATGACACTGGCATAGAACAGGTAATCAATACATACCTATCTACTAAAGATATTTCAACTCTCTTCTTACTAACTGAGATAGTTTATTGTGCCAGCCTGGCTGATAAACACAAGTGGGATTACTGAAGGGCAGAGAGATAAATGGCTTGGTGAGTCTCGCCTTTCTTGTCTCTGGCTCTTTGATCATCGGACCAGTGTGCGGCTGCCTTGCTTGTCCTGTGCCTCAATTTAAAGGCTACACTACCTGTGGGACGCCACGCCTGTGGACTGTGTCACTGTAAGTTGAGGTCCCTTTAAGAGATCGCTGGAGCTGGGGGCTGGCAGTTGGTGACCTGCCTTCTGATTGGCTGCTGTGCTGACATAGCCTAGCTCTCTCTATAAATAGAGGAAGATCTGGCATCAGACAGAGACTTGAAGGACTGCTAGTCTCTCACAACTCTCTCACGGCAGTGAGTTGAATTGAGCCATTTGTAGTGCTTTGTAATTTAACTGTTTCTTTCTTGTATTATATATTTATCTGTATATGATTTAACAGTTCATTTCTTGTTATATATCTAATTATCTTTATAAATAAATATATTGAATTATCAGCAATTTGGTTTTATCTCTCTAGAGAACCCTGTCTAACACACTAACACTCTAAAATTTGTTCCCCCTTATTTTTCCAGTTTACCTACTTTGCCCATTCCCAATGAATGTGAAACTGACAGGTATTTATTACTGTTACTTAGCAAGCATTGTTGAAGCATTTCATTTAATCAAACTATTGAGTGAATTCCTCTGCAGAGTAGTATTAGACTTCTTCTGTGGTTATTAGGCGCCCTGCTGGTGTAGTGGTTATGCGTAAGGCTGCAATCCAAGTGGTTGGCAGTTCGAAGCCACCAGCAGCTCCTTTGGAGTAGGACTGGGCTTCATACTCCAACAAATGGTTTCAATCTTGGAAATCCTCAGGGGGTTGCTCTGAATCAGCATTGACTTCATAGCAGTGAGTTTGGTTTTGGGGCTTTCTGTGGTTGTTAGTACAGCTCCACAGTTCTTTCTTTGCAATTGACTGTCTCTCTTGCTGCACGAGGAACTTTCCTGAGCCTTACCATCTCCCTCACTCCCCGAATTCTACTCTTAGCACCTCCCTCACAGCAGATGACTATTTATTTTAGTGAGACCAAGACCAACTGACCAGAACCTCCTTTCTACCTTTTTCTTCTCTCCAATGTGCCTTTTATATTTTTTATTTTTCCCTGGTTATTTTGCCCACTGTTTTCCAATGAGTCGCACTCACTCTAACTTCCTGGTGTTTCTTACTGCTAGGATTTCAAAGACCTTGAGACATTTGACATCATCTCTTTCTTGCATTTTCAATTTCTTCCTCCCCATGAGTTTCCCTTCTTAACCTATCTACAGCTGTTTTTCTTATTTAAACAAACACAAATGCAGCCATCCTGTGATGAGATTCCACGCAGTTTACTGACTTTTGTCCGTTATTTCACTGCAGACCTTTCAAAACAGTTGTTTGTCCTTGCAGCTTTCCATTTACTCAAAGCATTGAACAATCTATAGTCTGATTTCATGCTACTGAATTGCTCTTTACTGGCCCAGAGTCATTTCTGATTACCCAGCCTAATGACCTCATCTCTATCCTCATTAGACTCAATGCCTGCAGTTTGGCAGCTATTAACTATAGTATCATAGAATTCTCTTTGACTTGATTCCCCTGACATTTTGCCCTCATGTGTCTTCTCTTACCTACTTTTAAGTCTCTCTCTACTTATTTCACATAAATCTTAAAGACCTTAAACCTTACAGCCGTGCCCATGTTGCCCTGATTTCCAAGGCTCTATATCTCTTCTCATGGCCAAACCATCACTTTCATTTTAATGACACTCACCCCCCCCCCTCCGCTTTATGTCTTTAGTTGTAATTGCTCTTCTGAGCCCCAGACCTACATTTCTTGCTTCTACTTGGGTGATATTTCACTAGTATCTAAAAATTCCACAAAGCTCATAATTCTCTACTCTGTAATGCTCCTTTTCTTTTTGCAACCATCTTTAATGCTTCCACACACACCCTCCCACACACACACCTGCCCCAGAGAATAGTATCATTACCTTTCAAGTAGACCTGGCTTGCTGTCTTTAAAATACCCTGACTCTTCTTTATCCCTTGCAGCATCTAATCAGTTGCCAGCCTTCTGCTTTCAGTATCCCTTCATTATCTATACTGCTCTCTTCCCTTCCGATACCCCAACCCAGTTCAATATTTCATCTACTCTAACTGGTCTCCCATAGGTCTCTACCAGTTCCACTATATATACTTCATCTTGCTGCTATATATTCAATATTGGAAATCTCCATATTCAAGTAGCTTCTCATTTTCCAATAGAATAAAAGACAAATTTCTTACCATGACTTTCTATATCTTTCATAATCTGCCACACTTTTTTATAGCCTTATTTTTCACTCATCTTTAATATAACTTATGCAGTTTTAGAACATGACCTACAACTGACCATTTCCATGAATGTTCTCATACTATTATATTTATAGTTTTATCTGTGAAATAACATTTCAATCTTTGAGGCTCAATTCAGATGTCACTCTTCCTAAAGACTTCCCCAATCCTTGTTTAAATTGGAGAATTTCTGCCTCCTCTATATTCCTGTTAAGGTTATATTTGTTTTCAGTGGCTGTATGCATAGTTTTCTCCACCAAAGATTGATAAGCTCCTTAAAATCAGGATCTGTGACTTCTATCAGTGTATTCCTCACATGATTATTTACATATTAATTGCACAATAAATGCTTGATTAATTAAATTAAGCAAAATTATTTGTTTTAAATGTTAATATGAGTTTTTATAATTACCCTTTTTATAAATTACACAGTTAAGAACTAGAGAGGTTATTTATATTACAAATCTACAGCATTTTTCACTGAATTTATAATAATGAATGAAATGATTGATTACTATACAGTTTACAAAATATAATGGAGATCTAGTAGTCTTTTTGTTGAAGGTATACTAAGCATATTGGGAAGTTTTCATTTTGAGAGTATAAAAATTTCAAAGGCAGAGATATTTTTATTTGAAAAAGAGCTACTTCATTCGTGTGCTATCAAATGATAGTTGCTGTAAGTCATGGTCCATTTAATGGCAGTGAGTTTGGTTTTGGGTTTTGTTCTTATATTTCCTTGATGTATGTTGCCATCTAGTGTTGTATTTGTGTATTGCATCTTACATAAGTAGAAGACACTGATTTTATATTACATACAGTATTTATATTTATACTGAAGGTGAAAAAAGCCTGAAGATTTTGTAAAATCATAATATGTGGCATGAGAAAATTATAATGATGTTTGGCAATTTCTCTGGAAATTAACCATTTCAACTAATCTCAGCATTAACTATTAATTACTAAACTACTAACTAGACTTTGGTTATTGTTCATAATCCAAATAATTTTTAAATGCTTTTTATGAAAACACCGTATATTGTTAGAATAATACAACTTTATCTTGGTGTAAAGGTAAGGGAAGAGAACTTATCTGAAATCAAGAGTGTTGGCAGATTTCAAAAAGAGTAAAGAGTTCATCATACTGGAGATTTGAATGAAATTTTGACTGGAATTAATTAAAGGATGAATTCTCTACATTCTAGATTACCCTTTCAGGACAACATCTTAATAAATTTTTTTATACCAATGGCTAAGGTACATACCCTACAAGAGTGGGTGGGAGGAAAGTATAATTCTTTATAGCTTTCTCCCCAAAACTTGAACCTATTTCTATCAAGAAATGATTATATTCAAGAAAGGGGAGAAAGCCCCACATACATTATGTGGGAAATGGTCTCAACTTAGGTTGGCCAATTATAAATATCTATCAGTTATTTACTACTGACCTGAGAGGAGCCCTGATGGTGTACTGGTTAGACATTGGGTTACAATCCGTATGGTTCACTGTTCGAAACCACCTGCAGCTCCTCTGGAGAAAAACGGGGCTTTGTAGTCCTGTAAATGGTTACAGTCTCGGAAAACCCACAGGAGATTACTATGAGTCGTCATTGACTTGATGGACTGAGTCTGGTTTGAATTATTGACTTAGCCTTTGAGGTTCAGTTATGTCTTACTGAATGGTTACATAGTGATAACCAATCAGCTAGAATTCTGGGTACCCTGGAGTTAAATGAGACAACATTCATGGGAATTGTAATTAGATATTTGTTTGGTAGTCCCAAAACTTTTAGTATGTGAGTTCAATTAAAAGAGAACTAGCGAAAGAGGGTGGGAGCGCGTGCTGCTGGGAGTTGTTTGGAGGTTGGCGGCGAGGGGCCGAAGTCCCTCCAAACGAGCATGTCGCACAAGCAGATTTACTATTCGGACAAATACGACGACGAGGAGTTCGAGTACAGGCACGTCATGTTGCCCAAGGATATAGCCGAGCTGGTCCCGAAAACCC